GTTATTAGAATTGATATTGAGTCATCAAAAGATGGAGGATTTTAATGAAATATTAAATTATGTGCAGTATTCTGAGCTTACTGATGCAGTAATGAATATTAGTAGCTTTAAAAAAATGATCTGGTGCAGTAGTGGAAAAAAAAGGTATTCTCAGTTAAACAGAAAATTAAATTAAGTAGACTACCTTCTTGTGAGCATATACCTCTTCAAGGTTTTATGGTAATGATGAGCTTCTAAGATCAAAAACATAATTAACAAAAAAACTGAATTGAGTGGTCAAAAGTGGGAAAAATGGATTACGTTTGTGAACAGTAAATTTACTTTATAAGGTAAAACTTATACCTGTTAGAAAAATTATTGAATAAATTTATAGGAACTTGTATGGCTCAAAGAGAAACAGTATTTACTATGCTGTGCAAACCATGATCTTTCAACAACACTGGGGACTAAAATTGGTGTTATTCCTTGAATGACTTAAATAGGGACAAATTAAAAAGTGTCTAGAGATTAGGGACTGTAGGCTAAATGGGTTAAGTTGGTTGGGAGGAGTTGGCAACATTAATAGGAAATATTTAAAGTTTTATGCCTATTATGGAAGTATAGGTATCTGCTGAAGAATTAGCTATAACAATTTATTAATGTGAGCTAGACATGAATTAAAAGGCTGTGGCTACTTTAATGCATGTTTTTTGGAGAGAAATCTTTAGATGAGATGGAATTTAAGATAGTTCTAAAGTAGTCTTGCAGTGTTTGACTTAGAAGAAATTAATAGAAGAATAGAAGCTGTACATTGTAGTGATTTAGGCTAATGGTCAAAGTAAAGGTGACGGAAAAAATAAAGTCAGTTTTAAAAAGGTTTCATTTTAAAGGGACCAAATGTTTGGGTTTAATTTCGTTTTTGTATACCTGGGCGTATTTTGATGGGAATATAACATCACTACATATTTTCCTTCTGTAGACATGTGAAAAGTACATACATACTTTATAATATCTATCCCTTCCCCTCTAAAGCGAATTGCTGGTTCCCAGGCACACTTTTAAGTATGTGCACATTCATATACAAACATACACATGCACACATTCACAGCACACATGTGTGAACCCACACACATCTATGTCCTCTTGTACCCTGACTTATTCCAATTGTAGAGTTTATATTATGCTCCTACTTGGGTTTGCCTGAGGGAAAAGATGGTAACTTTGACTAAGCTTGTCAATTTCTGTTTCTCATTTCCATGTTGCTGAGATGATTATTTCAAGACAATGCTAGTATTATCTCCAAAAATAGTTTTGAGAAATTCACTTCTATTTAAATTACCTTAAAGATTAGAAAACAATATAATAATTTTCATAAAAATGAAGAAATATCAATGTTTACTTTTTCACTCTATTAAACTTAGTATTCCGATTACTTTTTTCTGACAATTAAATAGTGACAGTTAACTAGTGACTGGGCAAAGTCACTTAACCTTTAGTGCCTTGGTTTGTTTATCTATAATGAACTAGACAAATTTATTTCTGAATTTTAGTCATTTTATATTCAGTCATTTTAATATGATTTCCAGGTCTTTATTATAATGTCTTTGAAGTAAATCTGGTATGTGAAAAATTATATTTATATGAGTTCATTTTGACTATTCATTTTAGTGGAAAACTCATCTTTCTCTAAAGAGATTGACTAATTGATTACGTAAATAATCGTTCCTTCAAATTGGTTCAGCCATTACAGAAAACAATATGGAGTTTCCTCAGAAAATTACAAATAGAACTACTATACGATCCATCAGTCCCACTCCTGGGTAGATATCCAAAGGAAATGAAAATAGTATATTGAAGAAATGTACGCACTGCCATGTTTATTGTAGCATTATTCACAATAGCCAAGATTGGAAACAGCCTAAGTGTCTGTCAGCAGATGAATGGTTAAAGAAGATTTGAGATACACACGCACACATATGCACACACATGTATATGTATACATACAGTGGAATGTTATTTAGCTATGGGTAAGAAGGAAATCCTTCCATTTGTGACAAAATGAATGGACCTTACAGGCATTATGCCAAGTCAGGGGAAGACAAACATATGATAACACTTATGTGTAGATTCTGAAAAAGCTGAACTCATAAAAACAGAATAGAAGGGTGGTTACCAGGGGCTGGAGGGTGGGGAAGTGGGGAGATGTTGTATAAGGGCAACTCACAACCAGTTGATAAAAGTCCTGGAGATCTAATGCACAGCGTAGTGCAATAATGTGTATAAACTTCAAAGTCGCTAAGAGACTAGATCTTAATTGTTCCCACCACAAAAAAGAAAAGATAATCATGTGACACGATGGAGGTATTAGCTTACACTAAAGTCTTACGGCAGTATGTGAGAGTATCAGATCAACACGTTGTACACCTTAAACTGTGTTGTATGGCAGTTTATCTCAGTAAAAATAAATAAAAAATAATTATTCCCCTATGCATTGGATATACATACTTGATTATCACCATGATCTACACTTTACATACCTTAAAATTTTTTATGCCGGTTATACCTCAAAAAACTGAAGTTTAAAAAGTCAATAATCGTTCCCCTTATGCATTATACTCTTAAAATCAGTAAACCACTTTCAGATTACCACCATATCGTAAGTCAGGATATGCCTACTGTGACTTGCCTTTTGCTTACAAATCTGACATTTCTCTTGTAAACTTTTCAGATTACTTTTAGAAAGTTTTGAAAAAGGCATAAAATTTGTACATAGTTCACTGTATCTCAGATTGAAGAAGTGTTGAAGCCTTTTGATTCCCAAACATGTACCTTAAAAATATACATTTAACCTATGCAATGCATTTTTTTTTCCTTACTCTCTTTCTCATCTTAGGAAGGGTTGAGGATAAAAAGAATATTGATTTTATTGTTTGATAATAAAGTTTATTTAACTTTTGTGTTTCTTCTTTTGTACTTTTAAAAGTAAGTTTTCCCCTCCCAAATTTTACTTTATTGTCTGACATTTACCTATCTTTAATATTCCTTTTTATTTCAGTAATAGCGATTGCTCTTGAGTTAGACATGTACATCAGTGAAATCTCACTTGTTGGTTAGAATTTTCAGAACAAATATGGAGAAGAGTAGACCTCAATATTAGTTGCTTTTCCTAATTATGTGATTTTTGTGCATACTTTGGCAAATGTAATTGTCAATTGACTATAAATTTAAAATATAGTAATTATTTGACTTAACTTTTTATTTATAAAATTCTTTCATTTGATATAGATAAATTGAGTACTTTTAAAAGTGGGAGTTAGCTTTCATTGTCATTTGCAGTTTTGAGAAAAGTTTAGACTACAGTAGTTTTTGTTATTGTTAATACGAAGCCTTGTAAAAATGATGCAGTTATAGTGAAGATTAGGTGTGTATAGTAAAACCTAACAAATTTATATTACATATGGGGGAAGTCTAGTTTCAATTACAGGCTTTGAAAAGTGCAGGCTTGTTACATGAATTAAGTACATAACTCAAACTAAGTTAGAAGTGTTACCATCTGGAGAATAGGTCTTAATGACTATGTAAGAACTGTTTCGAAGTAGCCTATGAAAACATCAGTGATGGTGTCAATATACATTATAGTTATGTTGTTATTATGTGGTTCTAAATTTCTTGAAAGTAGTTTCTTCTTATAATTTGGTAAATATTCCCCTTCCTGCCATTTGACTAGTTTCTCATTTTTAAAGATAAACTTCAGCAATCGATCAGTGATTACTCATTGGTAATATTCCAGTTGATAAGGTTTCACTGTGTTTATACTGAGGTTTGCTGAATAATAATTCTTTTATAATCATAACTTTATGTTATGTGTTTCTTGCTAAGTCTGTCTTCAGCAATCGATCAGTGATTACTCATTGGTAATATTCCAGTTGATAAGGTTTCACTGTGTTTATACTGAGGTTTGCTGAATAATAATTCTTTTATAATCATAACTTTATGTTATGTGTTTCTTGCTAAGTCTGTCTTCCTGACAACAGTGGTTAGTCTGTATTGTTGATAATAAAGAAGCAACGGCATTGTTACAGCCAAGTTAGAATGTAGCTCTAACCTACTTTAGTGATAGAAATACTGTTTTCTAGTTTTTTAGCTTGCTTCCTGGATGACCTACTTTTTTTTTAGTGGATATCATGGTTTTTATTTCTCATGTTATTGCTGTAAGCTATTTCTGTTTCTTAAAAGTAACTGTTCATAATAAGCTTATATAATGAGGTAAGATGATGAAATTATTTAATATTTTTATTATGCAAAGTATAAACATAATTTTCAGCATAATTATAAGGTTATGCATATATAGAACACTACAGAATTTTATTCAGCTTACATTCATTTCAGGTAGTGGCACTATGTTTCAGAGTGAAGGAAATACCAATTTTTGTGGTAACAAGTAATATTACTCTTATGATAAGTAATGTAATTTTTGATAATGATTAAGATAATGTATATTTTGGTTAAATTTGTTTTATCATCATAGTACTTATAAAATTTGTCTTATAGATTTATAAGAGTGGGTAGGTGGAGAATGGGGAAAGATCACAATATGAGTATATGTGATAAAATACAAATAGTGCCTTTAAGGAGTTGACCCTTCCATAATAACTTACCTGTATATATTAAGGCTCAGATACAAAAGTGGGTCTTCCTTGCATTGTTTCCTTCTAGATGATGTAAAGAGGTGCTTAGGAAATGGTGCTATGATTTCTGCTCTTGAGAAGCTTGCCATTTAAAATAAAATACTTGAGTGGAGCTTCCTTATTCCAGGACTTTACAAGACCTTGATTTATGGGTTCAGGAAGATTCTGCATATCAGATTTATCATATTTGTATAGGTAAGTTTAAAGAGAAGAATTAGGAAACGTTTTTATGAGCCCATTTCTAGAAGCAAATTTAAAACGTTGTAACAGTCTTTGTAACAGTCAAACTCAGTATGATCTGGTTTTAATTTCTAACAAAAATTTTCTTAACAGGTGGAGAAAGAACCTGTGGAGTACATGAACTTATCTGTATTAGAAAAGGTGAGTCAGTGCTCTGCATGGATATTTAAATACAAAATGAACACTTCACAGTGTATGATACATTTTAGTACAATGGCAGATAATTTGGACTTACAGAGTATAAAATTTAATAAATATTAACATTTGTTATTTGTATTGTAGACTTAACCATTCATCAAGTACATACTGCTTATTATGTGGTTATTGAGAGTTGTTACTTTATATTTAGTTTTCATGGGCTGATAAAGCCTGGTTTCTAGCATATTGGTTATCAGATGTGGTGAAGAGGCAAAGAATGGAGGGTTTGATTTTTGTTCCCTTTCAGAATCTGGAATCTGAGTGCATGCTGATCTCCCATTGACTTCTGTTCTATTACTGTACCCCATCAGAGAGATGTGAGGAGTTGGTTGAAATTCAAATCGGGAACATGTCCAAAGACCACAACATCTTTTGACACCAACAACTGTCTATGCTTCCTTAGAAGGAGCCACCTGACAACTGGGTGGTTGAACAAGGTGGCCCCAGGAAAGGTAATTCAGTTATTAGGTGGGAGGCAAGGAATCAGGTATTCTCTAGATTTGGAAGAATCAGGAAAACCTTGGGAGTCCCCACACTCCTAAGCAGTCACACCTGTGAAAGGGTGTGAAGAAAGGGGAGGTCAGGGGAAGAAATCTTCATAAATGTACTGCTCTTTTCTCTTTTTAAACTTGGGGGACTTTCCTTTTCTTACGTCTTTCTTGAAAACCGAGTTGGCCCTCCTGAGTCTGGCCAGCTAGCAGCACTCCTTGCCCTAACATTTCACCCTAAGGAGGTTTGAGGCAATGTCAGTATTTGTGGTACATGGGTATGATTGACATACCAGGGAATGTCAGCATACTTTTAGGAAGTCTTCAACAGGTCTGAAAAGCCTCAGCTTCTTCAGAGTTGAGTGAAAGGTTTTTAATTCTTTTTTAGGTGAATTTGGCGTAATCATGCTAGTTTGTCTGTGTGTCACTGCTTTTGATTGCTGTTCATTTAAAAATTGTCTCCTTCCTGTATTAAAGTGTAATCTATCTATATGTATGGTACCACAAAAGAAAATTGAAGTCAGTTCCCTGAAATCTCAAATTTAGGATTGTGGAGAGGGGGGAGAGAGGGGACAAATTATATGTTGTTTTCTTTGTCTATGTAAACATTTTTAGTCTTCAACTATAACATATTAATCCATATTTGCTCAAAATGTTTTAAATAATTTTATAGTTACTACCTTGTCCCAGGAAAACTTTTTAAAACACAGAACTTACTTGGACAGGAAAAGGCACCGTACAAATCTGTTGAAATCAAAAACTATAAAACTGTGGTCAGATGAAGAGAGAATCAAGACAAGAGTAGAGATAGCTAGAGGGGAGGAAAATAAAATGTGTGGAGGGCTTTTCGTGGCTACAAGGGGAACAGAAAGCTACAATGGAGAAAATAGTGTAGGTAGTTACAGATGATGATCTGAACACACACCTTTTTATTATGGCTCTTCTTGCTGTTCTTTATTGCTATCTCCATTCCTATCCAGGTGGTTCTCCGACCGTGCCTTGCCCAGATTTCTCTGTATTAGTCCAGCTTTTTCACTTCTTCCAATTTCCTAAAGAATTTAAAATCTGTGATTAAAATTTTAAAAATCGTCACAGTGCAGCTATGCAATGAAAAAGTCTCTGAATCTATGTGTATCCCCTCAGCATTCAGTGTCCTCTTCTAGTGGAAGTTCCATAAGTATTTGAGTATTTTAAAAATGAATGCTCAGAGCTAAAGCTTTTGCATTTTATTTTTTATTTAAAAAAATTAAAAAAAAAATTTTTTTTTTCGCTGCACTGCGTGACATGTGGAATCTTAGTTCCCCAACTAGGCATTGAACCTGCGCCTCTGCGGTGGAAGCATGGAGTCTTAACCACTGGGCCACCAGGGAAGTCCCTAAAGCTTTTGTATTTTAAACTGGACTTTCATAGAGTAGAGCCTATGAAGGTTATATCAAGTGGAATAATTGTAATTAGTATCAATGGTTCTGGTAAGATGACATCTCTAACATTATGTTCAACTTGTTTTTACCTGTTTGGCTGTTCTCTGTCTCCTTTGCTGGCTTCTCTCCTCTGTCAGACCTGTAAATGTTGGAACATACCAGAGTTGGGTCCTGGGCTTGCTTCATTTTTCCATCTATTCTTTCTGTTTAATTTTATTTGGTTCTGTTGTTTTAAATGCCATACAGATTTATAAATCTGGCTCTGAGCTGTCCTTGAGCTTCCTGCTCTTATATCAAACTACTCACTTGATATTTCTATCTGGATGTCTGTTAGAATAAAAACTTGGCACGTCTAAAATGCAAATCTCGATTTTCTCAGGTGAATCTGTACCTTCCTCACTCTTCGCCATCTCAGCTAATAAATAGAACAGTCGGCCCAGTTGCTCAAGTCCCAACTTAAGTATCATCCGTATTTCTTTCTTTTATCTTCTGCATTTAATTTATTATTATTAGCAAGTTTTGTCAATTCTACTTTCAAAATATATTTTGAATCTATCCTCTTTTTTCCTTCCTGCTGTTATCATCATAGTCTGTGTCCTTATCTTCTCTTGCTCACACTACTGTAATGGTTTTCTAACAGATTCCCTTACTTACACTCTTATCTCCTTTCAGTACATATCAATGATCCTTTTAAATGTTTACATTTAAATGTTTACATTGAAATCAGGTCATATCACTTTGCTGATTGGAATTCTTCTGTGGATTCCCGCTCTACCTAGAATAAAATCAAAGTGCCTTACCCTGATCTACAAAGCCTTACATTATAACATCAACTCAGAAGTCTCATCTGTAAATCCTCAAAATGCCATCTAAATTTCATCAACTCAGAAGTCACATCATCTAAATCATTTACATCAGGTATGGGTGAAACACTGGATGTGATCCATCCTGGTTCAGAATTCCTCGCCATCTCTAGACATGTGAAACTAGCAAATATGTTACCTGCACTTCAGATACAATGATGGAACAGGATAACAGTTACAGACATTTCTACCCCAAAGGTGGTAAAATGGAGAGCAGAGAAGAGTCACTGGTACCAAGCAGTTTTGAAATCCAATTGGGAAAAATATATTCAGTTTCAAGGCCTGGAAATAATACTCTATTGCTCTTGGCCCTGGGGTCTGAGGCTCCACTCTCAGAATTTAAGACTCTACCCTTGGAGTCATCCTTCCTTTTTCAGGAAAGGTAGTGTATATCTGCACCTGAGTATTTTTATCAGCCTGTTTCCTGTCTGTAGAATTTTGGTCTGTTTGTCTTCTTTCATTTTGTCCGCTCTTGTCCCTTTCAGTCTGAGGTGGTGGTGTTCTGCTGGTATAACAGTCTCAGGAAAGATTCTCGTGAGTCTTCTCTGTTCGTTATGTGGGTTCCTTCCATAAGGCAAGACGCCCCTTCACATGTCTTTCCTGGATGATTCCATCTCTGTTTTTGGCTTTTGCCGGGACGGCTGAGGAGATCCATGAGTCACATGTCTAATCTCTTCAGAGAGCCCTCTGTGTCACTGAACGTTGTGACCTTTTGTTCATTTTGAGGCACTGGCAAAAGGTTGTCTAGCCACACTTTGGCTTTGTCTCCAGAACATACTTTCTTAACATTGAATCCCTGATTTTAGCATAATTTACAATCTGCGTAGGCTGAGGATTTTCCATATCATCAAGTACTGGTTCCTTTTTGCTTAACAGTTCTTCCCTCACTTTATCTCATTCCTCTCAAATTTAACCATAAGCAGCATGAAGAAACCCAGGCTGCACCTTCAGCACTTTGCTTGGAAATCTCCTCAGCTAAATATCCAAGTTTGTTGTTTAAAAGTTCTACTTTCCATATAATTGCGGGACATGATTTAGCCAAGCTTTCTGTAACAAGCACCTCCTTTCCTCCAGTTTCCAATAACATGTTCTTATGTTCTTTATTTCCTTCTGCGCTCTCACCAGTAGCACCTTTAACATTTATATTTCTACCAGTGGTCTGTTTATGACTATTTAGGTATTCTAGATCTAATACGATACGAATTTTCTGTACCACGCTCCTCATTTTCTTCTGAGTCCTACCAGGGTCATTAACATCCATATTTCTACTAAAAGTCTGTTCAAGGCAATTTAGGCTTTTTCAGTTGTGCCCCTCAAAATTCTTCAAACTTCTTCCCATTACTTAATTCCAATTACTTAATCATAACAAATGCCTAACTTTCTCATCGTTAGGTATTTGTTTTAGTGGCACCCCACTTTCAGGTACCGAAATCTGTGTTCGTTTCCTTCAGTTGCTGTAATAATTGGCCACAACTTTTGGTGGCTAAAACAACACAAATTTATGCTCTTACAGTTCTGGAGGTGAAAGTCCAAAGTCAGTTCCACTGGGCTGAGGGCAGACATTTCTTCTGGAGGCTTGAGGGGAGAATCTATTTCCTCAACCTTTCCATCATCCTGGGGCCATCATCTGCCTTCCTTGGCTTGTGGTCCCTTCCTCCATTTCAAGGCATTTCACTTTGGACTCTGCCTCTGTTGATCCATGTAATGTTCTCCCCCACCAGCTCTTTGAATGACTGATTCCTCTAGTTCTTTCCTTTGCAGTCACACATTCCCTACTGACGTAAGTCTTAAGTTGCCCCCTCATCCTTTTTTATTCTTAATCTCAATGATATCACCCTCCTTATTTAATAACATCTATTTTAATCGGCAGTTATCACCTAAATAGTTATTAACTTTGCGGGGAGGAGCTGTATGTCTCCTCCATTACGATAAAAGCTCTAAGAGGGCATTAGTGTTGACGGACTTGTTCACTGCTCTATCCCCAGTGCCTGAAAGAGCACAGGACATATGATAGATGTTATTGGAGTTAATAAATGAATGATTGAAGTGGATTTGGCTGAATTGATCCTGAATAATTTAATCTGATGCCTACTAGTTAATTACAAGGTATTTATTGAATACTTTCTTTATGCAAGCAAAATTCTAAATGTAATGACTGGTTAAAGAAACAG